GGGAATCCTAAAAATACCATTAATTGAAATTTGTCAAAAATAAAAAAGTATTCATATTTTTACTTCTACTAAAGCCACAAAACAAATTAATAAACCAGCTTGGATATAAATACAAACTTACTGTTGCAACTGTTAAGTTTTCTTTTTTTCTTTTTTTTTTTGGCGGAACCGGGGATTGAACTCAGATCCTTGTGTTTGCCAGTCAAGCACTTATCCTACTGAGCCATCTCCCCAGCCCCAACTGTTAGTTTTCAATTTAAAAAAAAAAAATGTATTTCAGTACAGGGTCTACAGGGTCTCACTATGCAACTAGGACTCATAGTGATCCTCCTGCTTTCAGCTTCCCAAACACTGGGATTACAACTGCGCGCCACCACGCCCAGTTTCTTTTCAATATTTTTAAGCATAGGAAACATTATTGGAGAATAAGATTGGGAAAGAGAAGTGGGAATAACAACAGCTCCTGAAAGACAAGAACAGTCTCAAATGAGTTGCCCTACTTTTGAGTTTTTAAATATGACTTCAACTACCTAAACACTATGAAAATGAACCACTGAAGCACAACTGAAAGCAAGCATTTAAAGCACACGCTGCCTTTTGCCCTGGGCTCAAGGGACGCCCACGCTGTCCTCTATGACCTTCCCTGGGGTCATCCCAGAGCTTGATCTCCCCGCGTTTCTCCTCTCAGTACAAGAATTCCCCCAAGAAAATAAACCCCAGTCTATACAATAAATACTCTGGCATGCTCTGATGATGCCTATGCAAAGCCTCAATGAAGGGATCCTCACTGCTAACATATCACACAGAAGCCAGGTGTGGTGGCGCACGCCTGTAATCCCAGCACTTGGTAGGCTCAGGCAGGATAGCTGCGCATTTAAGACCAGCCTGGGCTACAAAGTGAGCTCAAGGCCAACCGGAACTGCACAGCAAGACCCTGTCTAAAACACAATAAAACAAAATAAAGTAAAACATCTGAGGAAGTAAAGCACACAACAGACTTTCTCCCCGACATTAAGGGAAGGGACAGGAAGCTTTCCTGGCCTTTCCCCATTGCCCCATCCCACGGGATGCAAAGCTGGATAGGTCCTGGTAAGGAAGCAAGCTCTGTTCCTTGCTGGACAAGCCTGCGTGAAGCCACAGCGGGCTCTGGCATGGAGCTTGAGTGCCCTCTGCTGGATCCAAGAGGCAGCACAGCACATTGAGTACTATTTTGAGTAGGCTGCCATGCAGTTCCCAGAATCCCTTATGCTATGTATCGACCTTCCTGCAAAGCCTCCAGAGCGAGCTCACAAGTGGGGCTTTTCCCAGGTGACTGGATCAGCAGTGTGTGATACTGGGTCAGCGCACTGACAGCTTTATAGGCGGGTGTGATGTTAGGTGAAGCCAGACAGGAAGAGGTGGGCACTGGGGCACGGCCTACAGGCTGTTCCCTCCGTCCTGCCTTGATGGCTGTGCCTTCTGCCAGCAGGGCCCCTCTGCCATGCTGCCCTGTCTTGGAACCAGCCTACTAAGAACTAAAGCCTCTATAACCTGTGAGCTACCATAAATCCTTCCTCCTGTAGGTTGTGGGTGGCAGGCATTGTCCCACAGCAAGGAGAATGCAACTAAGACACTGGCATGGCCTGCACTAGGTGAAGAGCCCGGCGGGCGCACACCGGTGCCACTGACTAGCTTCCAAGCAGAGCAGGGGAGGGACTCGCACCTGAAGGACGGCACGGGTGAGGCGTGCCTGAATGCTGCGCGGGAGTGCACGACGGGAAGCCCTGCAAACGTACTAATAAAAAAGCTAAAGTTTAAAAAAGGGACTAATGCGGGAGAGAGATGGAGCCCAACAAACACTGACAGATGTAAGCCTGTTGCCAGGAGACAGGGAGAGATAAAAAGTGACTGGATGGCATGGTTGCGTAAGGGTTCTGACACTGCCTGTGAAGGTGGCTGTACAGTCTATGACTGTACCACCAACTCTTAAGTGGGTGTTATACGGTATGTGACACATTCAATGTGCTAATAAAGTAGATACATATGCCAGCCAGGGAGAGGAGCCTGCACACCGGCGCCACTTCATGAGATTCTGGAAAAGGAGAAACCAGAGTTGGTAAACAGATCTGCTGGCTCATAGGACCAGAGTAAGCTGAGCAGAGGAACGTGGTTGGTGGTGGAAGCATACACAAATGGACTGGCCCAGACTGTTTTCTTTTTATTATCATTCAAATAGGACTGTCTCATTGTTTGACAGAAACTAGGCACCCTGGGTAAAGTGCCTGGGAGAGAAGACTGCACAAGGTCCTCGGTGACCACAGGCAGCAGCTAAACTGCACACACCCAGCAGCCTCTCAGGGAAGCCCAAAGCACATCAAGAAACCCAAGGGACACGTACAGACAGGGGGGCCAGAGAGCATGAAGGCCTGGGTTCCACAGCAGCAGAGGCCAGGCCTCTTCTTGTGAGGCAACACTGCCCTTCTACTTCCAACAGTTCCACATTTCTGTCCCCTGCCAGCTACCACTTCTTGAGCAGGTTATCATCCTAGATGTACTTATACACAACTTTTGAAGGCACAGTCTGCAGGTGGAGTCGCACAGGACACTTGTAAAAGTGTGACAGCAGAGTCTCGCTGTAGCCCACGAGGAAGTAGACCTTGTGTGCAGGCAGCTGCCTCAGCAGCAGGGCACAGATCTCTATCTGGTTGGCCCGGCGTTTCAGGACCACCTGGTCAGCCAAGCAGCCTGGGAAAGTGCCCATCATGAACTTTCGAAGGAACACATCCTCCACCGTTCGCTCCGCAGCATGATCCTCCCCATCCAGGTTACCTGAAGAGAAGCCACTAGAGAAGAGTCAGCCCTTTTGCCCAGCGAACTGCCAAGACTCCAGTGCTCACAGCCAAGCCCACGGGACCTCCAGAGTGAAAGATTTGGGGGGAGGGGAGGAGCCAGGGATCAAACTCAGGACCCTGCACTTGCCAGGCAAGGTGCTGACGCTGCTGAGCCATATGCCGGGCTTGGGCCCTCAGTCCACCCCTTGTCCATTCTCTTCCCTTTCCTTTTCTCACAGAATAAGAAATACAATATTTTCAAGTTCAAAGCACATTCTTTCATGTCATACTGGTAGCACACATCTGTAATGCTTGCTCCTTGGGCAGGCAAAGGCAGAAAGATCAAAATTTGGAGGCCAGCTAGCAAGATTCCCCTGTATCAAAGTAAAACCTAAAACAGGCTGAGGATGTAGCTCAGCACTACCATACCTGAGTTTGATCCCCAATATAAAAGACAAACCCCCAAAATCCATTCTTTTCTGAAGTTCTAATCCAACCCTACAAAGCAAGTACTATCACTGTCTTCACAAAAGAGAAGACTGGGGCCTGAACCAGGGCACAAAACAGGTGATGGCGCCATATGCGGCTCCTTTCCCAGTCTTTCTGCACTGGCTCTAGAAGCACAGGTCATACCATGAGCTCAATGGATGAGCCACCACCTATTTACCTACTCATTCATTCATTCACTCATTTTTGTGGTGCCAGGAATCGAATCCAAGGACATGGAGCTCTCCTGTTGTCTTTTTTTTTGGTGTGGGTGTGGGTGGAACCAGGAATTGAACTCACGACCTCCTGCTTTCCAGGCAGTTGCTGGAAAACTACTACATCTCCGGCCTCTTCTGTTTTCTGAGGTATCAAGGATTGAACCCAAGGGTTGGTGTGCACTATGCAAACACTCTCTACCACTGAGCCATGATCCAACATCTCTAGAGGCACCCACACCTTCTAGGATACGAGAACCTCTGTAGTGAACGTGATTTCATTGGTTCACGGCAGTGATGTCCCATCCCGGAGCCAGGGGACTCTGAATCACTATTTCTAGGGGCACTATTCCCAGGGTTAGGTGTGGGCAAGTCTTGTCACAGCAGACTCACCAGTAGATCCATACAGCTATCCCACGTGCCCTCCTGTTTAAAGACACTGCGTATAATGTACATGTCAATCCTTTATAATGTACATCTCAACCCTTAGTAGCAAACCCTTGTTGAAGGATACTGTAAGCCTGAACAGAGCTTGGAGCTCATCTAATATTTACGTCCTACAGAAGGCACACGGCAGCTTTCCACACTCAAGAATGGGAGACAGTGCTCCAGAGCCATTTTAAGTAGCAAAATCACAACAACAACAACAACAAACTGCCTCTAAACTGTGAAAAGGGAACAATAGGAGAGCTTGGTCTACCTCAGGAGTTGCTCTGCCCATGTCCCTGTAGGACTTTGAGAGCGCACAGTATATTGACTTTGAGGTCAGAAATAAATCTGTCAGTAGAAAAGGTAGAGCCCAGCCTGGGCAACTCAGCGACTTCACCATAACCTATCTCAAATAATTTTTAAAAAATATTTTTTGAAGGGGCTGGGAAGATGACTCAGTAGAATAAGCACTTCCCTGGCAAGTGCAAGGGTCTGAATTCAATCCCCAGTTCCGCAAAAAAAAAAAAAAAAAAAAAACTTTAAAAACAACAACAACAAAAAAGAGAGAGAGACAGAGAGACAGAGAGAGACAGAGTCTATGTAGGATAAGCTGACTTCAAACGTCGATCCTGGGGCTGGCGAATGGCTCAGGGGTCTAAAGCACCTACTTGGAACAAGCTTGGCAAAGCACAGGGACCGCGGTTCGATACCCCAGCACCACATGCCAGCCAGCCCCGCCCCCAGGTGGGCTGAGCTGGCCACACACACACACACACACACACACACACTAAAGGAATAAATAAATTAATTAAAAAAAAAAGTCGATCCTCCAGTGTCTGGCACGTACCACTATGCAAATTAATCCCAACTTTGTTGTTACCACTCCTCTGAACTGCTCCACAGCTCTCCGATCCCCGCCTTAACGCACCTTCCTGCCACCCCCGGCTCGATGCTGAGCCCTGACCTGTGTGCAGCGACAGCCAGCCCTTCCGGTGAGCAATGTAGTGCGGAGCATGCGCCTCCTCATAGGTCACCGGCTTGTCCCCTTTGCCCACGCGCACTCGGGCCGCCCGGTTCTAGGAGCAAAATCACCGTCACCCGCGGCCCGGCCCCGCCCCACCAGCCGCGTCGGGCCCGCCCCGCCCTGGAGCAGCGCTCACCTTGGCGCAAACAGCAGAGGTGTGTAAGGCGCGCCAGGGGACAACCAGTTCCTGGCTCAAGAACAGCACCTGTGGGGTATGAGGCGTGAGACTGAAGCCCGAAGCCACCCTCACCCCCTCCTGGCCGCCACGTCCCCCACTCACGCGCCGCCCCAAAACACTGCAACACGCGGACGCCATCTTGGCCCGAAACACCGTGGAACCAAACTGAGCCTGCCAGGACTGGTGCTTCGGCAGGCGGCGCAGAGCTTCTCTCGGGGGCGGAGCTTCTTCTGAGGGGCGGGGCCTCCGTGGGAGAGGCGGGGCTTCGGCGGACCTTGGGGGCGGGACCCGGGAAAGGGACAAAGCTTCCGGGGGTGGGGTCTCGGGGGGCGGGGCTGCGCGGGCGGAAGGGGCGGGGACTAGGGAGAGGCGTTGGTGTGACGCGCAAGACAGGGGGCGGGGCGGGGCGGGGCTTTGGCCCTACCTAGCCCAGCGCGGGTTTCTGAGGCTGTCCGACCGGTGGTGAAAGTTATGGGCATCCGTTAGCCAAGAGCAGTAATCTGCCTCGGATAAACCTCATTGGCTACCGTACTGGGCATCCGTTATCAAACCCGGAAGCCCAATGAACGGAAATGTGAGCTTTCGTCCTTTAGGAGAGCTCCACGACCCGCTGAGCGGCTTGGGGAGGAAAGCGCGCCTCACCTCAAGTGCCCGGGAAGGGACCCCCGTTTCCCCAGCCCCTGGAAACTCGGCCCGAGCTCCGCCTCCCAGCACTCGGACAGCACGTGGGAGAGCGCGCTCCTGAGCCGCGGGGCGAGTCTCCGGGGTTTGGGACGCAAATGAAGACGAAAACTGTTTTGATTAAAACTTTACTTAATTCTTCTCCATGAGTAACAGAGACGGGGTGGTGGCCCTCGGAAGGGAAACCTTCAGTAGCAGTAAAACTCATGAGGATGCGGCAGGGCCGGGACATTCAAGGCAGAGTGGTGGCAGTGTAATTGATAGCCAGTAATTATGAATGTCAAAGGGGAAAATAGCAACACTGGATATACACAGGCTCTGGCGTCCACAGTTGGCTCTTTCTCTTCCTTTCCCTTTCGCGTTACTGGGAATTGCACCCAGGGCCCATGAGGCTCACTGCTGTAGCAGAGCTGCATCCCCAGACTTTATCTGACACAAGTTCTGACTAAATGTGCTAAGTTGCCAGGGATAGGCTTCAACTTGCGATTCTCCTGCCTTGACTCCTGGGTTTACAGGTGTGCATCACTAAACCTGGGTACTTTTGTTCAGGTGAACCTATAAAATGGGCTTATTAATAATTTGGGCCTCAAACCTGGCATGGTAGTGCATGCCTATAATCTCAGAATTTGGGAGGTGGAGACAGGAGAATCCCCATGAATTCAAGGCGTGCGTAGACTACATAGACTCTATCTCAAGAAATACAATAATAATAATTGTACAACTTCAGAGAACTATGAGGCTCAAGAGAGTACAATCTTTACTAAGTGATAGTTGCTCTTGGTTACATGAGGTTGAATCCGGTGAAGTTGTCAATATTTGGCTGGCAGGACCTGCAAGGTTCACGCCAGTAGCACTTACACGTGATCACCAAGAGGAAAAGGCAAGCTAAAGTGAGTGAAGTGTTGCCCACGGTCACTGTGGTGAGGAGCCTGAGATCTGACACCTGAACTTCCTAGATCCAAGTCCTGGACTCACTACCTGCCTGAGAAATGTTGGCAACGACTAAACCCCGTGAGCCTAGGTTCCCTCCTCTGTGTAAAAAGGGAGGGGATGGGGGAGACAAGAATAGTGGCTGTGAGGGCCGGTGAGATAGCTCAACGGACTAAGCCCCTGCTTTGGCAGGTAGCAGGGTTTGATTTCTGGTCCCGCATGCGGCGCCCGACTCCTCCACCCCCCCACCCCCTACCCCCCGGGGGGCGTGTTGAACCACTGAGTGGGGGCATGGTGGGGCATGCCTGCAATCCCAGCGGTGGGGAGGCTGAAAACAGGAGGACCACTACAAAGGGGCCGGGGAGATGGCTCAGTAGAATAAACACTTCCCTGGTAAGGGCAAGGACCTGAGTTCAATCCCTGGTTCTGAAAAAAAAAAAA